GAGAGGGCAGGTGCAGGGCACACAGCGTCTCACCAGCTCAGTAGAAGCTGGGCCATTGGTGCCCTCCGCCAGGTCCCGGACCGGATCCCCTTCCAGATGTTTACTCCCAGCAGTACGGGTGGGGTGCCATCAGGGTCCCAGCCCTGCATCTGGACCCGTCCAGCCTGGCTGAGCCCAGAACTGGAGGGCCTGGGGTGCAGGTGGTGGGGTGCAGGTGTGAGCCCCGAGGCCCGGGGGCTGACAGCCAGGCCCGAGGGGAACGACCACACGTGTGTGCACACGCTGGGGACTGGGCCAGCTTCCCCTCGGTGGGGCGGGACACGGGGGGAGTGCTCTGGGGACCCCTCTGCAGCACCGAGCACCGGAGCCCACACCCCTCTGCCTTCCTCCTGATGCTTCCTGCCAGTGGCGGCCCTTGGGGTCCCAGGATCCTCGTTACCCCCAAATGCAGCCCTGGTTTCATCGTCTCCAGGACCATAGGGATCCCTGAGGCGGGAGCTTAGACGGGACTAACCCTCAGCCATGCCCTGATGGACGGGCAGCCTCGAGAGCGCGGCTGGAGCCGAGCAGGGTTTGGGGGCCAAATCCCAGCCCTTGGCCTGGGTTAGGCCTTCCAGGAGGCACTGCGGCCCCGACCCCTGGGCCCTGCTCCGGCCCTGGGAGCAGCACTTTGCCTGCACGGCCATCCCCGGAGACAGGGTCCTGCTGGCGTGGCTTTTGCTCCGGCTCCAGCCGTGGGCCCTGAGGCCCGCAGGCCGGGCTCTGCTCGCGGCCAGACGTGCCTGCTGCTGTTCAGTGTCTGCTCCATTTCCCAAGCCGCTCCGCCGCTGGGGGGAGGCTCTGACCCAGGGCCAGGTGGGCCCTGCTCCCTGGGCTGCCCTGTGTCCACCGGGACGGAGTGACTGGGGAGGGAGCATGGTTTATGGGGCAGAAGTCCATGTGGCTTCAGACAAGGCTGAGCCAGGACGTGGCCTTTAGAGCTGCCGGTGGCGGGTGAGGTGGGGCAGTGGGCAGACACGGAACCCGGGTCAGGGTGGCTGTTGAGAAAAAGCGGATTGGCAGTAACTGGAGAAAGTGGAATCGCACTGGATGGAGGCCACACCGCACTGTCCCCTCCCCCCGGGGACTGCACCCTCTAGGCGCGTGGCTTGTCTTCTAGGGCGTCCGACAGGCTCTCCAGGCCCGGCTCCCGTCGGCACATGGAGAACGACAGACAGCCGGATGCCGGGGAGACTCACTGTGCCCCCGCCCCCCGCCCCTCCCGCTCGAGCTTGTTTTGGGAGCAGCCTTCTCTCCTGGGCAGTGGCACAGGCAGCTCTTTGCGCAGACGGCAGCTCTGGGTTCACCACCTCCTTGAAGAATCGTGGCGTTAGCCATTCATTTTCTCCCCAGTTAGTGCCCTTGAAGTTCCATAAAGACCTGAACTCCTTCTCAACTCCCGCTTCTCAGTAAACAGTGCGAGCGAGCGAGCCGTGACCTCCCTCTGCTGGCTCTGCCGAAGGGGGCGGGGCTGGTACAGAGGCGGCTCCGGGCAGTCACGTCCCCTGCTTCTCTGCCTTCTGCCCAGTGTGCTGGGGGCCCGGGGACCCTGCCACCCCACTTCGCACACCCCGCTTTGCCACCCCAGGGCTGGTGAGAGGGCAGTGCACGCTGGGGGCCAAGCCAGACGGCCTGGGCTCTGCTGCCTGCCTGCCTGCTGGTCCCAGCGTCTGCACCGTGCTCAGAGGGCTCCTGGGTGCCCTGCCGGCTCCCCACTGCGCCACGGCCGGGGCGTGGGAACCGGAGAGGCTTGGTGGCGGCTGCTGTGCAGGAGAGGCCCTGCTGATGGATGGGCTCATACTCCATTCAGATATGATGCCAGCAGTTTTTGTGGTTTGTCTTCCATTGCGGCAGTAAAGTTTTTAATTAGGAAAGCTAATGAGGTCGATTAGTCATTAGAAGTGACCTCTGCACGGCGGGGCGGAGGGCTGTGTGTGCGGGCCTGATAACGCGCCCGGCCTCGTCGGCAATAAAGGCACGAAGGGTTTGATTCGAGTGAAACGTGCCACGGGGATACATCATGCGGAGAAAAAAATTACAGCCCTGGGAGTCCGTAATGAAGGGAATTAAACCAACATCCTATCTAAATAACATGATTATCTACACAGACCCTCAGCCGGCTGCGGGCGGGAGAGCGCTGCCTGTGGCTGCGGGGCAGGAGGGGAGCCGCTGGGCAGATCCCTGTGTGCCTTCTGGGAGGCCTCGCCTGGCACAGACGCCCCCGGCCTCTGCCCGCCTCTCCCCACTGATGGGCTACCTGGCCGAGCTGCCGGTGTGGGGGTCTCTGTGGGTGGAACCCTGAGGAGCCCTGTGCTGGGGCCTTGCCGGTAGCCCCCGGGAGCAGAGCCCGAGGCGCTGTGCAGGCAGGTGGGGCGCAGGGGGAGCCCCGGCAGCCTGGCCGCGGGGGAGGCGGGGCATTAGATCAGTGATCTGGGCGGTGCAGCTGCAGATGTGACAGCAGGCGCCCAGACGTGCCCCTCGAGCTGTGGGGACATCGCCAGCATCAAGTGGAAGGGACTCGGGCGCAGCAGGTCCTGCAATTGCGTGAGCGCTCAGCAGGCAGGAAGCCGGGTGTCGTCACCCGGCGGTGAACACAGATGTGGCCAAGTACACAAACCTGCGTGGGCACCTGGTGCGGTGCCCCCTGCACCCCCAGCCTCCCCGGCCTGCCTGAGGGACCTCTCGCGGCCATGGTGCCGCCCCCGGCTTGGGGGCATGGTGGTGCTGCTGAGGACACTAGCCTCCTCCCCGCCTACCGCACGCACATCCTGGTGGCTGGTCAAGGCTTAGGCCTGTGCCCAGCTCTCCTGGAGCCCAGGCTGCTGGGCTGGTGCGGACGTGCATGGCCTCGGGGGTCAGGCTGGAAGGTCCCTACAGCCTCCGCTGACCGCCCGTCTGGGTTTTCTCTGCAGCCTCCAACCTGAACGCCCTGCCGGCCCCGGCCACCAGCAAAGTGATCAAGACCCGGTACCGCATCGTCAAGAAGAACCCGGTGTCGCCTTTCAGCGCATCCCCCTTCCCCCTGTCCCTGCCTTCCTGGCGGGCTCGGCGGCTCTCCCTGTCCAGGTAGGAGGCCCTGCCCAGGCTCCTGTGGCCTGAGGCCGAGGGCACCGAGCTTACCACTGGTCTCCTGTTTGCCGGCTGGGATTGAGCTCATCTTTCTGTTCAGCAGCTTCTGCCCCAGATGCGTGGCACACCACGCAGACACGCTCACGCACGTGCTCATGCCTCCTGCATCGGCGAGCTATCAGCTGGCGCCGGAGGCTGTGGTGTCCCTCAGGAGGCCCTTGTGGTGAGAGGCTGGGCCCTGAGCAGCCCTTTGGGACCTGTGACATCTTGTCGTCGTACACTGACTGCTGAGGGCGGGAGGGAGGCCGCAGCCCGCCCCACGCCACCTGCCTCGGCTGAGAGTGTGGTGTCGGCCGCCCTCTGAGACCGCCTGGCTTGGGCTGTGGGCAGAGGGTGCGCCTGCGGCCTCCGCAGATGGGGGCACGCAGCCTGCCCTGGTGGCGCCCACTGCCCTCCTCCCGCACCGCCAGGCCCAGGGAACTTGGCCCTGCGCCTGCTTCTCTGGAGGCAAGAGCTGGGAGTATATTTTAAGTTAATTTTACTGCACTTTTTGTAATATTTTTGTTTTAAATAGATTTATAAGCATCTTGGGGGCTATTTCTACAAATTTATGAAGATAATTTTCACTCTCTCGATAAGGTTGAATTTACACCTGCTATTTCCATATTAATTCACAGTGCTAAGTGGGTCTAATTTCCTTCCGTTCTTCTGTCTGGTGAGCGTGGCCTTTTCCTAATGCAATTTCCCCCTCACTAAATCACTGTGATCGGGAGCCAGGATCGCGCTGAATTAACTTAAATTAATTTACTTAATAAGAGATCATCGTGAATGAGGTTCAGATTTATTGGTTCTACTCCTGCCTCCCCTCCCGCCATAGGTATTCCGCCCACCTGCTGGCCAGGCCCCGCCTCCGGGGTGGTCCGTGGGCCTCTCCTCCCAGCCTCTGAGCACCAGGAAGGGTTAGGCTTTGGTCCAGCTGGGGCCTGGTGGGGGTGTCCATGGCCCAGTGGGTGAAGGTTCCCCGGGGCGGGCGGTGGCCTTGGGCGCCCTCAGGCAGTGCTGCCCTGCTCCTCAGCGGAGCTCCAAGCCCAGCGGGTGGAGCGCGGCCCGGCCCCGAGGAGCCTGTGTGCTGGGCGGGCAGGTGTGTGGGGCGCACCTTGGGTCAGGTGGATGGGGTGAGCCCCTGACGGAGGCCCAGCTGCTCCCCCCCTCAAGCCCCCGCCTAGTCGCCTTGCTGTCTGGATGCTCTGGCTCCTGCAGCCCTGGCGTGGCTCTTGGGCCTCAGTCCCTTTCCTGTGGGAGGAGGCACAGGGAACCCACCGGATGGCCGTGTGTTACCTAAGGGCGTGCGTGGGGCCGTGCTCAGTGGGCCTCCCTCCGCCCTGACTGCCTCCCCAGGCCTGTCTGCCCGTTAGCAGGTACCCAGGACACAGCTGAGCGCAGAGCCCTGGGCTTGGGCCTGCAGGGTGGGGGGTGCGGGTGCCACGGGCTGAGTGCTGCCAGTGGCTGGGCTTCCTTCGCCAAGGCCACCTGTGTCCTCGCTGGGGCTGCCTGCTCAGCACGGTGGCTGTTCGGTGGCTGCTCGCCAGCTGCCCAGCCCCTGTCAGGAGCGCGCGCCGGGCTCTGCTCGTCGGGGCAGCGGAAAGGGCCTTCTCTCGGGCCAGTGGCCAGTCTGATGCCACCCACCCGCTGCCTTCAGCTTCACCAGGGGAAGGCTCTGCAGCCGCTGGCAGTGGCCGAGCCGTTGGCCCCGACGCTGACCGCTGCCCTGTGCCGCTGCAGCTTCAAGCTCCCCAGGCAGCCTACGTCCTGGATCCGGGGCCACAGGAGCTGGCCGGGCCCTGAGGACTCCAGACCACTGCTGCTCAGAACTGGCCCTGGTGCTCGGGGTCTGCCAGGCCTGGGGTCTGGGGGGGCAGCAGAGGGCACCCCAGGGCTGAGGCTCATGAGCGAGGGTTGAATGCTTTTGCTGTAAGATTTGTGGATTTGCCTGCATCCTCGCTGGCTTCCAGCAGGTTCATTAATCTGCACGGAGGCTGAAGTGTGACTTATATCCCTAAACCGCCTGTCGCTTTTTTTCTCTCCAAATTCATTTGATGTGAAAGTGCGGAATAAACAAGCCGCGCAGAAGCCGCTGCGTCTGAGCTGCTGCTCGGGCTACAAATGGCGCTGTCACGGCACTGCCGTCGCCGGGCGCCTCGCTTTATCTTGTTTCGCTTTTGTGTCTGTGCCGTGAATCTCGGGCTCTCTGGGCAGCTTGGCGGGTTCGGGCTGTGATTTTGAAGGCTCTGAAAGGCGTCTCCCAAGTGACGTCTCATTAAGGAGGAACTCAGCCCGGGAGGGGCAGGTCCCCCCGAGCCAGGTTCCCGCCCACCCGCCCTCCCAGGCATGCCCTTCCGCGGCCAGCGCTGCTGCCGCCACGAGTGCCGCTCGGGCGCCATCACAAAGCCAGGCCAGTGACTTCCCTGTACATCGTCTCTCAGCTCTGGAGGCTGGAAGGCTCGGGTCAGGGTGCCCCGGTCAGTCCTCTCCCGGCTGCACACAGCCACCTCCTCGCTGAGCCCCTCCTGTGAGGACCCTAATCCTTCATGGGCCCACTCTCACCCCCTCACCCACCCTCGTCACCTCCAAGGCCCCGCCTCCAGGTCCATCACACCAACAGGAGTTTGGGGGACACACCACTCCGTCCACAGCAGGGCGTCCAGCTCGTGCCCAGACCTGTTGTGAGCAGGCCGTGGAGCTGGGCTCCCACCGCCCGCTGCCTGCCCTGGCGGTGCGCCGGAGGCCAGCAGGCTTGCCGGGTCCCTGGGAGGACCAGCACAGAGGGCGCCCCCAGTGGAGGAAGCAGGTGGCTGGAGGAGACCAGGAGCGGGGCAGGAGGCAGAGCAGGGTCAAGTGCAGGGGCCGGCCCAGCCCTGGACCTGCTGGGAGCCACACGTGGCAGTGCCGGCCACCTAACACCTAACGGGTGACCCTGGCCCGGGTGACCCTGGCCCAGTGCCTGCTCTGGGGGCACCCGGCTGCCCAGGGCCCTGCCCGAGGCAGACCTGCTCTGTGGCTTGTGGCCTGAGGGGACCCAAGGCTGCCCCTCCCCGCTGTGTAGTGCATTGTGGGGCAGTGCCTGCTGCTGCGGGCCACCCCTTGGCCCAGGAGGAGCTTCCCAGACAGCGAGGGCTGCCCTGCGGGAGGGCACGAGGAGGAGTCAGGGCCGCTGGCCAGGGGGCGGGGAGGAAGGAGGACGGTCGCCCTGGGACTCCAGCTCAGGCCCTGTCCCTCTCCTGATTGTACATTTAACTTTTTGGGGTGACTTTTGATCCCCGTTTGCACTTCGCCGGGGTCACTGACCGGGTCCACCTGGTCCCCGCTGCTCCTCACACCCCTCTGTTCAGGCACGATTTCCGGGGAGAGTGGAGACGTGGTGCCCCTTGACCAGGCACTGAGTGTGGCCCGGTCAGGGAGTGCTGCCCACGGCTCGGGGTCACGGTCACGGCCACGCCTCTTCAGCCTCAGCCCGCCCTGTCTTTCGTGACCTGCCGCTGTGGGGACCAGAGGCCCAGTGCTTGGTGCAGCGTCTCTGGGCTGTGGGAGTGCGAGCGGCTCTGTGCAGCCGTGTCAGCCTGGCCGCGTGGCCACCCTGGCCGCAGGGCCTCTGCCGGGTGCTGTGGGCGGTGCGTCGGCCCCAGCCCCTGCCCTCCCCGCTGCACCAGCCACCTCCACAGAGCGTGGTCCCCAGCCGGGGCGCTCCAGTGTCTGTCCCCGTGGACTGGAGCTGTTTCCGCGCTGAGTGAGGATGGACGGGGCCGCAGCTGTGGGCACACGGCTTCTCTGCGGTTGCCTGGGACCGAGTGCAGGCCTGCGGCCCGAGAGTGGCTTCACGTGGAGCTGCCGCCTCCACGGCCTCGGTGCCTTCTGTCCCGTGACAGCCGGGTGCTGCTGGCTCTTCAGTGTCACCTCCCCCACGTGCCATGGGGCTCGTCGTGGCTTACTTTGCGTCCCCCGATGACCGTGCCGTTGCCCGTGGCCCCTCCTTGTCTTCTCCTGGGACAGACCTCAGGCCTCTGCCCAGCTTCAAATTGGCAGTTGGTTTTGGTTTGGCCAGAGTGAGCTGAACGTGGTGAGGCCGGTGCCCTTCACATCTGTGCCAAGTCGGCCTCCCCTGCTTGGATGAGGCCTTGTTTCCTGGCCAGGAGTCTGCGGGGGGGCGCGGGGGGGGTGCGCCCGGCTCAGAGCACCATCAGGGACCCGCCCCCGGCTCTCACTTGCCTGGTCTCTGCCCGCTGCAGGCCGTGTCCTGGGGACCTGGAGCCCAGAGGGGAGTCTGGCTGCTCCAGGGCTCGGGAGCCTGCCCCAGCCCAGGGCACGTTTGTCCCTCATCAGCCCCGCGCCCACCCTGGTCAGAGCATAGCTTTCCTCCGCCCACGGGGAGTCGGCCAAGAGCACCTGTCCGGGTCCCCGCCTGTCCCCTTGCCGGGCCGAATGTGAGGAAATAGGAGGGGAACTTGGAGCAGGAGTTGCCCTGAGGAGCCAGGGCAGGTGGCAGCTGGTCTGAGCTTCGGCGAGAGGCAGGGGTGGGGGGTGGGGGTGACCCCAGCGGTGCTGAGGCAAGTCTCCGGGTGGGGTTTGGAGACCCTGTTTTATGGGGCCGGCGGGTATGGCTCCCCAGGTGCCGTAAAAGCTAATGTGATGGCCGCATGTGCCGTGCTCCTCATTTTTATAATTTTTTACTTTATGAAACAGGACAGGGAACTTAGTGACTTATTACTATTCATTTCGTTTCAATGCAGTAAATATTGATTCAGTTGGGGGTTTTCAATTTAAACTGCTTGGCGATTATATAAAATATGACTGCCTGTGAGATTATGCTTACCGATCCCTTCGCTGCTCATTAGGGAAGGCGCGCGGCAGCCTCTGCCTCCATCATCCTAATGGACGGCCGCGCCACCATCCTGCACGGGAGGTGCGGGCTGCCCGCGGGCCTGACAGCGGATGCAACTCTTAATTTGGAAGCCGGTTCAAAGCGCCGGTATTTACTTACTTCTCTGTCGGAGGCGGCAGCCTCTCTGCTGTCACCTGCCCGTGCTCCTCGCAGGGGGATGGGGGGGATGGGGGAGATGGGGGCCTCAACCCTGCACCCCCCTGCGGTCTGCGAGGGGAGGGAGGGGACCAGCCTGGGGCCGGCAGGTGGGCCGGTGGGTGTTTCCTGGGACAAGAAGGTGGTCCCTGTGGTTTGCCCGGAGCAGCTTGGCTCTGACCATAGGAGCCTCAGAGGTCCCTTCAGGTTGTCCCCATGGGACGCGCAAGGGTTGCCCTCGGCTGCGCCCGGGCCCTGGCCACACCGTGCCAGCACTGAGGGCCTCGTGTGGCCCCGTGGGTGCCCCGGTGACCCTGGGAATGACAAGCAGATGACACTGAGAACACTGCCCGACGGGCAGAGAAACAGTGTCCTCACCACCCCGTTGTCCAGTCGCCTCACGCAGTCCAACACCGTCTGCTCCTCTCCTGGTCCTGAGGCGGTAGAGCAGCGTCCCCGCGTCTGTGTCCTGCTGGACGTCCATGTCAGCTCCAGCCTCATCTGCCCCAAACTCCTCCCCCCACGTGCTCAGGGGGGCGGGGGGGGGAGGGGGGGCGTTGCCCAGGGGCCTGGGGACCATGGCCCGGGGGCTCCAACAGCAAGGGCTCTCTCCGGCCCTGGCAGCCTCAGGCGGCCTGGCCACTGCCTCGTCCCGAGGCCCATGTCCCAGTGTCACGCAAGGGTTCTCTGGCTGGGAGGCCCCAGGAGGCACTGGCCTGGGCGGTGTCCGTCCCCTGCGTGGCTCTGGTGCCTCCCCTCCCCTCCCGCCCCACTCCCCCTTCTTTCTGTACCTGCCCCTCACCCTGCTGTGTGGCTGTGTCCTTCGGAGCCTCCCTCTCCATGTGGGTCCCCCAGGATCAGGGCTGAGGGGCTGTGCAGCCGCTTCATGTGCAGGTGGTGGGGGTGGTTCAGGAATCTAGGGGTGTCTGAGGGTGGGGGCCACTGCAGCTGCAGATAGCCCCTGTGGGCCAGGCCAGGTGACCCCTGCCTGCCCTTCCTCCGGCCACCCTCAGCGGGCGGGCAGCCCTCGGCCAGTGGGACCGGCCCGGCTCCTGCTGCGCCTGGCGGGGCAGCCGAGCCAGCGGCAGGTGCAGGGTTTATGCTCCTGACTTTCCTGAAGTCAGCAAGGCCCGCTGCCACCCGCGCCCGCCCGCCCGCCCGCCGAGCGGGGTAATTTGCGGCGATGTCTGTGGGCCGCGTCCACTCCCCAGTCAGCACTTAATTGGCAGGCGCTTGATTTAGCAGCGCGGGGGCCTCCACCGGAAAGACGGCGCGAGTAAATCACAGCCTGACGCCAGAAAATAGATATAATCTCAGCGTTACCCGCATTAATAGCAGCCGGAGCCGAATTAAAAAGGCCATAAAGCACCGCCGGGCCTAAAGGATGGCCGGCCGTCCCCTCTGCCCGCGGCTCCTCTGGGGGCGGGGCGAGGGCGGGGCGCTCTTCCAGCCCCTCCTACCCTCCGGCCGGAGGCCCCGCCCACCCCGTCCCAAGCCTGCCCCGCCCGAGGGGGGTGTGGGCGGGTGGCTCTGCTTGGCCTGGAGGGCTCCCTGAGGAATTGGACGCCTGGCACCCCCAGCGTGCACCCCCTCAGCCTGCCCCCAGGTGGCCGGGCCCTCTGTCTGCAGCCTGGGCGACTTCGTGGAGGAGCGTTGGCCGTCTGTTAGGTAGACACAACTGGACCACCACGCAGGTCCCGATCAGGCTGTTGAAATCACTCATTTCTGGGGTTTCCTCCGGGGAGACCACCCCTCCAGGACAGGCCGCTGCTCTGCTGCCGGGAGCCCAGCCGGGCAGTGCCTCCTGCAGGCCGTTTGCATCTCTCTGGCCCCTCAGTGTGGCCACCAGCCAGGAGCCTCTGGGCAGCTCGGCCGCGCTCGCCAGGCCAGGCTGTTCCCTCGGAGTCCTTGTCAGGTGCGTCCTGTTCGTGTGCCTCCGCGTGTTCCTGGCGTGTTCCTGGCGTGTCAGATGGCCGGCGTGTCACCCTTTCATCAGACTCTTCTTTTTCTTCATCTTCAGTTTTGCCTTCAGTTTTGTTTGAGAATTTTTAACAGGGTTTTCACTTTCCTGTGGAGTTCAATCTGCCATCCTCTTAAGGCAGGATATTGATCTGCTT